GCTTGCCTAGTCCAGAAGCTTGCCTGGTCCAGGAGCGTGCCAGGTCCAGGAGCTTGCCTGGTCCAGGAGCTTGCCTGGTCCAGGAGCGTGCCTGGTCCAGGAGCGTGCCTGGTCCAGGAGCTTGCCTGGTCCAGGAGCTTGCCTGGTCCTGGAGCTTGCCTAATCCAGGAGCTTACCTGGTCCAGGAGCGTGCCTGGTCCACGAGCCTGCCTGGTCCAAGAGCTTGCCTGGTCTAAGAGCTTGCTTGGTCCAGGAGCTTGCCCGTTCCAGGAGCGTGCCTGGTCCAAGAGCTTGCTATGTCCAAGAGCGTGCTTGGTCCCGGAGCTTGCCTGGTCCAGGAGCTTGCCTGGTCTAGGAGCATGCGTGGTCCAAGAGCTTGCCTGGTCCAGGAGCTTGCATGGTCCACGAGCTTGCATGTTCTTGAAGCTTGCCTGGTCCAGGAGCTTGCCTGGTCCAAGAGCTTGCCTGGTCCAGGAGTGTGCCTGCTCCAAGAGCTTGCCTGGTCTAGAAGCTTGCCTGTTCTAAGAGCTTGCCTCGTCCAGGAGCTTTCCAGGTTCAAGAGCTTACCTTGTCCAGGAGCATGCCTGGTCCAGGAGCTTTCCTGGTCCTAGGAGCTTGCTTGGTCCTTGAGCTTGCCTGGTCCAAGAGCTTGCCTAGTCCAAGAGATCGCCTAGTCCAGGAGCTTGTTTGGTCCAGGAGCTTGCCTGGTCCAAGAGCTTGCCTGGTCCCAAGATTTCCTCGTCCAAGAGCTTGCCTGGTCCAGGAGCTTGCCTGGTCCAGGAGCGTGCCTGGTCAAGGAGCTTGCCTGGTCCAGGAGCTTGCCTTGTCCATGAGCTTGCCTGGTCCAGGAGCGTGCCTGGTCCACGAGCTTGCCTGGTCCAAGAGCTTGCCTGGTCCAAGAGCGTGCCTGGTCCGCGAGCATGCCTGGCCCAGGAGCTTGCCTGGTCCAGGAGCTTGCCTGGTCCAGGAGCTTGCCTGGTCCAGGAGCTTACGTGGTCCAGGAGCTTGCCTGGTCCATGAGCTTGCCTCGTCCAGGAGCTTACCTGGTCCAGGAGCGTGCCTGGTCCACGAGCCTGCCTGGTCCAAGAGCTTGCCTGGTCTAAGAGCTTGCCTGGTCCAGGAGCTTGCCCGTTCCAGGAGCGTGCCTGGTCCAAGAGCTTGCTATGTCCAAGAGCGTGCTTGGTCCCGGAGCTTGCCTGGTCCAGGAGCTTGCCTGGTCCAAGAGCTTGCCTGGTCCAGGAGTGTGCCTGCTCCAAGAGCTTGCCTGGTCTAGAAGCTTGCCTGTTCTAGGAGCTTGCCTCGTCCAGGAGCTTTCCAGGTTCAAGAGCTTACCTTGTCCAGGAGCATGCCTGGTCCAGGAGCTTTCCTGGTCCAGGAGCTTGCTTGGTCCTTGAGCTTGCCTGGTCCAAGAGCTTGCCTAGTCCAAGAGATCGCCTAGTCCAGGAGCTTGTTTGGTCTAGGAGCTTGCCTGGTCCAAGAGCTTGCCTGGTCCCAAGATTTCCTCGTCCAAGAGCTTGCCTGGTCCAGGAGCTTGCCTGGTCCAGGAGCGTGCCTGGTCAAGGAGCTTGCCTGGTCCAGGAGCTTGCCTTGTCCATGAGCTTGCCTGGTCCAGGAGCGTGCCTGGTCCACGAGCTTGCCTGGTCCAAGAGCTTGCCTGGTCCAAGAGCGTGCCTGGTCCGCGAGCATGCCTGGCCCAGGAGCTTGCCTGGTCCAGGAGCTTGCCTGGTCCAGGAGCTTGCCTGGTCCAGGAGCTTACGTGGTCCAGGAGCTTGCCTGGTCCATGAGCTTGCCTCGTCCAGGAGCTTACCTGGTCCAGGAGCGTGCCTGGTCCACGAGCCTGCCTGGACCAAGAGCTTGCCTGGTCTAAGAGCTTGCCTGGTCCAGGAGCTTGCCCGTTCCAGGAGCGTGCCTGGTCCAAGAGCTTGCTATGTCCAAGAGCGTGCTTGGTCCCGGAGCTTGCCTGCTCCAGGAGCTTGCCTGGTCTAGGAGCATGCGTGGTCCAAGAGCTTGCCTAGTCCAGGAGCTTGCATGGTCCACGAGCTTGCATGTTCCAGAAGCTTGCCTAGTCCTGGAGCTTGCCTGGTCCAGGAGCGTGCCTGCTCCAAGAGCTTGCCTGGTCTAGAAGCTTGCCTGTTCTAGGAGCTTGCCTGGTCCAGGAGCTTTCCAGGTTCAAGAGCTTACCTGGTCCAGGAGCATGCCTGGTCCAGGAGCTTTCCTGGTCCAGGAGCTTGCTTGGTCCTTGAGCTTGCCTGGTCCAAGAGCTTGCCTAGTCAAAGAGCTTGCCTAGTCCAGGAGCTTGCTTGGTCCAGGAGCTTGCCTGGTCCAAGAGCTTGCCTGGTCCACGAGATTTCCTCGTCCAAGAGCTTGCCTGGTCCAGGAGCTTGCCTGGTCCAGGAGCGTGCCTGGTCCAGGAGCTTGCCTGGTCCAGGAGCTTGCCTTGTCCAGAAGCTTGCCTGGTCCAGGAGCGTGCCTGGTCCACGAGCTTGCCTGGTCCAAGAGCTTGCCTGGTCCAAGAGCGTGCCTCGTCCGCGAGCGTGCCTAGCCCAGGAGCTTGCCTGGTCCAAGAGCTTGCCTGGTCCAGGAGCTTGCCTGGTCGAGGAGCTTGTCTGGTCCAGGAGCTTGCTTGGTCCAGGAGCGTGCATGGTCCAGGAGCTTGCTTGGTCCAGGAGCTTGCTTGGCCCAGAAGCCTGCCTAGTCCAAGAGCTTGACTGGTCGAGGAGCGTGCCTGGTCCAATAGCGTGCGTGGTCCACGAGCTAGCCTGGTCCAGGAGCTTGCTTTGTCCAGGAGCGTCCGTGGTCCAAGAGCTTGCCTGGTCCATGAGCGTGCCTGGTCCAAGAGCTTGCGTGGTCCAAGAGCTTGCGTGGTCCAGGAGCGTGCCTGGTCCACGAGCTTGCCTCGTGCACGAGCATGCCTGGTCCACGAGCTTGCATGGTCCAGGAGCTTGCCTGGTCTAGGAGCATGCGTCGTCCAAGAGCTTGCCTGGTCCAGGAGCTTGCATGGTCCACGAGCTTGCATGTTCCAGAAGCTTGCCTGGTCCAGGAGCTTGCCTGGTCCAAGAGCTTGCCTGGTCCAGGAGCGTGCCTGCTCCAAGAGCTTGCCTGGTCTAGAAGCTTGCCTGTTCTAGGAGCTTGCCTCGTCCAGGAGCTCTCCAGGTTCAAGAGCTTACCTGGTCCAGGAGCATGCCTGGTCCAGGAGCTTTCGTGGTCCAGGAGCTTGCTTGGTCCTTGAGCTTGCCTGGTCCAAGAGCTTGCCTAGTCCAAGAGATCGCCTAGTCCAGGAGCTTGCTTGGTCCAGGAGCTTGCCTGGTCCAAGAGCTTGCCTGGTCCACGAGATTTCCTCGTCCAAGAGCTTGCCTGGTCCAGGAGCTTGCCTGGTCCAGGAGCTTGCCTTGTCTAGGAGCTTGCCTAGTCCAGGAGCGTGCCTGGTCCACGAGCTTGCCTGGTCCAAGAGCTTGCCTAGTCCAAGAGCGTGCCTAGTCCGCGAGCGTGCCTGGCCCAGGAGCTTGCCTTGTCTAGGAGCTTGCGTGGTCTAGGAGCTTGCCTGGTCCAGGAGCTTACCTGGTCCAGGAGCTTGCCTGGTCCATGAGCTTGCCTCGTCCAGGAGCTTACCTGGTCCAGGAGCGTGCCTGGTCCACGAGCCTGCCTGGTCAAAGAGCTTGCCTGGTCTAAGAGCTTGCCTGGTCCAGGAGCTTGCCCATTCCAGGAGCGTGCCTGGTCCAAGAGCTTGCTATGTCCAAGAGCGTGCTTGGTCCCGGAGCTTGCCTGGTCCAGGAGCTTGCCTGGTCTAGGAGCATGCGTGGTCCAAGAGCATGCCTGGTCTAGGAGCTTGCATGGTCTACGAGCTTGCATGTTCCAGAAGCTTGCCTGGTCCCGGAGCTTGCCTGGTCCAAGAGCTTGCCTGGTCCAGGAGCGTGCCTGCTCCAAGAGCTTGCCTGGTCTAGAAGCTTGCCTGTTCTAGGAGCTTGCCTCGTCCAGGAGCTTTCCAGGTTCAAGAGCTTACCTGGTCCAGGAGCATGCCTGGTCCAGGAGCTTTCCTGGTCCAGGAGCTTGCTTGGTCCTTGAGCTTGCCTGGTCCAAGAGCTTGCCTAGTCCAAGAACTCGCCTAGTCCAGGAGCTTGCTTGGTCCAGAAGCTTGCCTCGTCCAAGAGCTTGCCTGGTCCACGAGATTTCCTCGTCCAAGAGCTTGCCTGGTCCAGGAGCTTGCCTGGTCCAGGAGCGTGCCTGGTCCAGGAGCTTGCCTGGTCCAGGAGCTTGCCTTGTCCAGGAGCTTGCCTGGTCAAGGAGCGTGCCTGGTCCACGAGCTTGCCTGGTCCAAGAGCTTGCCTGGTTCAAGAGCGTGCCTCGTCCGCAAGCGTGCCTGGCCCAGGAGCTTGCCTGGTCCAAGAGCTTGCCTGGTCCTAGGAGCTTGCCTGGTCGAGGAGCTTGTCTGGTCCAGGAGCTTGCCTGGTCCAGGAGCGTGCATGGTCGAGGAGCTTGCTTGGTCCAGGAGCTTGCTTGGCCCAGAAGCCTGCCTAGTCCAAGAGCTTGACTGGTCGAGGAGCGTGCCTGGTCCAATAGCGTGCGTGGTCCACGAGCTAGCCTGGTCCAAGAGCTTCCTTTGTCCAGGAGCGTGCGTGGTCCAAGAGCTTGCATGGTCCATGAGCGTGCCTGGTCCAAGAGCTTGCGTGATCCAGGAGCTTGCGTGGTCCAGGAGCGTGCCTGGTCCACGAGCTTGCCTCGTGCACGAGCATGCCAGGTTCACGAGCTTGCATGGTCCAGGAGCTTGCCTGGTCCAGGAGCTTGCCTGGTCCATGAGCTTGCCTGGTCCAGGAGCTTGCCTGGTCCGGGAGCTTGCCTGGTCTAGAAGCTTGCCTGGTCCAGGAGCTTGCCTGGTCTAGGAGCTTGCCAGGTCCAGGAGCTTTCCTGGTCAAGGAGCTTGCCTGGTCCAAGAGCGTGCGTGGTCCACGAGCTTGCCTGGTCTAGGAGCTTGCCTGGTCCAAGAGCTTGCCTGGTCCAAGTGCTTACCTGGTCTTAGAGCTTGCGTGGTCCTGGAGATGGAAAGCGGGAGAATGGGGCGGGGTGATGGAAAGCGGGAGAATGGGGCGGGGTGATGGAAGCAGGGAGAATGAGGCGGGGTGATGGAAGGAGGGAGAATGGGGCAGGGTGATGGAAAGCGGGAGAATGGGGCGGGGTGATGGAAAGCGGGAGAATGGGGCGGGGTGTTGGAAAGCGGGAGAATGGGGCGGGGTGATGAAAAGCGGGAGAATGGGGCGGGGTGATGGAAAGTGGGAGAATGGGGCGGGGTGATGGAAAGCGGGAGAATGGGGCGGGTGATGGAAAGCAGGTGAATGGGGCTGGGTGATGGAAAGCAGGAGAATGGGGCGGGGTGATGGAAAGCGGGAGAATGGGGCGTGTAATGGAAAGAGGGAGAATGGGGCGGGGTGATGGAAGGAGGGAGAATGGGGAGGGGTGATGGAAAGCGGGGGAATGGGGCGGGATGATGGGAAGCGGGAGAATGGGGCGGGGTGATGGAAAGCGGGAGAATGGGGCGGGGTGATGGAAAGCGGGAGAATGGGGCAGGGAGATGGAAAGCGGGAGAAAGGGGCGGGGTGATGGAAAGCCGGAGAATGGGGCGGGCTGATGGAAAGCGGGAGAATGGGGCGGGGTGATGGAAGGAGGGAGAATGGGGCGGGGTGATGGAAGGAGGGAGAAGGGGGCGGGGTGATGGAAAGCGGAAGAATGGCGCGGGGTGATGGAAAGCGGGAGAATGGGGCAGGGTGATGGAAAGCGGGAGAATGGGGCGGGGTGATGGAAAGTGGGAGAATGGTGCGGGGTGATGGAAAGCGGAGGAATGGGGCAGGGTGATGGAAAGCGGGAGAATGGGGCGGGGTGAAGGAAGGAGGGAGAATGGAGCGGGGTGATGGAAAGAGGAAGAAGGGGGCGGGGTGATGGAAAGCGAGAGAATGGGCCGGGGTGTTGGAAAGCGGGAGAATGGGGCGGGGTGATGAAAAGCGGGAGAATGGGGTGGGGTGATGGAAAGCGGGAGAATGGGGCGGTCTGATGGAAAGCGGGAGAATGGGGCGGGTGATGGAAAGCGGGTGAATGGGGCAGGGTGATGGAAAGCGGGAGAATGGGGCGGGGTGATGGAAAGCAGAAGAATGGGGCGGGGTGATGGAAAGCGGGAGAACGGGGCGAGGTGATGGAAAGCGGGAGAATGGGGCGGGTGATGGAAAGCGGGAGAATGGGGCGGGAGATGGAAAGCGGGAGAAAGGGGCGGGGTGATGGAAGGAGGGAGAATGGGGAGGGGTGATGGAAAGCGGGGGAATGGGGCGGGATGATGGGAAGCGGAAGAATGGGGTGGGGTGATGGAAAGCGGGAGAATGGGGCGGTCTGATGGAAAGCGGGAGAATGGGGCGGGGAGATGGAAAGCGGGAGAAAGGGGCGGGGTGATGGAAAGCTGGAGAATGGGGCGGGCTGATGGAAAGCGGGAGAATGGGGCGGGGTGATGGAAGGAGGGAGAATGGGGCGGGGTGATGGAAGGAGAGAGAAGGGGGCGGGGTGATGGAAAGTGGGAAAATGTGGCGGGGTGATGGAAAGCGGGAGAATGGGGTGGGGTTATGGGAAGCGGGAGAATGGCGCGGGGTGATGGAAAGCGGGAGAATGGAGCGGGGTGATGGAATGAGGGAGAATGGGGCGAGGTGATGGAAAGCGGGAGAATGGGGCGGGGTGATGGAAGGAGGGAGAATGGGGCGAGGTGATGGAAAGCGGGAGAATGCGGCGGGGTGATGGAAGGAGGGAGAATGGGGCGGGGTGATGGAAAGCGGGAGAATGGGTCGGGGTGATGGAAAGCGGGAGAATGGGGCGCGGTGATGGAAAGTGAGAGAATGGGGCGGGGTGATGGAAAGCGGGAGAATGGGGCGGGGTGATGGAAGAGGGGAGAATGGGGAGGGGTGATGGAAAGCAGGGGAATGGGGCGGGATGATGGGAAGCGGGAGAATGGGGCGGGGTGATGGAAGCGGGAGAATGGGGCGGGGAGATGGAAAGCGGGAGAATGGGGCAGGGAGATGGAAAGCGGGAGAAAGGGGCGGGGTGATGGAAAGCGGGAGAATGGGGCGGGCTGATGGAAAGCGGGAGAATGGGGCGGGGTGATGGAAGGAGGGAGAATGGGGCGGGGTGATGGAAGGAGGGAGAAGGGGGCGGGGTGGTGGAAAGCGGGAGAATGGGGCGGGGTGATGGAAAGCGGGAGAATGGGGCGGGGTGATGGAAGGAGGGAGAATGGGGCGGGGTGATAGAAAGCGGGAGAATGGGGCGGGATGATGGGAAGCGGGAGAGTGGGGCGGGGTGATGGAAAGCGGGAGAAAGGGGCGGGGTGATGGAAGGAGGGAGAATGGGGCGGGGTGATGGAAGGAGGGAGAAGGGGGCGGGGTGATGGAAAGCGGGAGAATGGGGCGGGGTGATGGAAAGCGGGAGAATGGGGCGGGGTGATGGAAAGCGGGAGAATGGGGCACGGAGATGGAAAGCGGGAGAAAGGGGCGGGGTGATGGAAAGCGGGAGAATGGGGCGGGGTGATGGAAAGCGGGAGAATGGGGCGGGGTGATGGAAGGAGGGAGAATGGGGCGGGGTGATGGAAGGAGGGAGAAGGGGGCGGGGTGATGGAAAGCGGGAGAATGGGGCGGGGTGATGGAAAGCGGGAGAATGGGGCGGGGTGATGGAAGGAGGGAGAATGGGGCGGGGTGATGGAAAAGCGGGAGAATGGGGCGGGGTGATGGAAAGCGGGAGAAAGGGGCAGGGTGATGGAAAGCGGGAGAATGGGGCGGGGTGAAGGAAGGAGGGAGAATGGGGCGGGGTGATGGAAGGAGGAAGAAGGGGGCGGGGTGATGGTAAGCGAGAGAATGGGCTGGGGTGTTGGAAAGCGGGAGAATGGGGCGGGGTGATGAAAAGCGGGAGAATGGGGCGGGGTGATGGAAAGCGGGAGAATGGGGCGGGGTGATGGAAAGCGGGAAAATGGGGCGGGTGATGGAAAGCGGGAGAATGGGGCGGGGTGATGGAAAGCGGGAGAATGGGGCAGGGTGATGGAAAGCGGGAGAATGGGGCGGGGTGATGGAAAGCAGAAGAATGGGGCGGGGTGATGGAAAGCGGGAGAGTGGGGCGAGGTGATGGAAAGCGGGAGAATGGGGCGGGTGATGGAAAGTGGGAGAATGGGGCGGGGTGATGGAAGGAGGGAGAATGGGGAGGGGTGATGGAAAGCGGGGGAATGGGGCGGGATGATGGGAAGCGGAAGAATGGGGCAGGGTGATGGAAAGCAGGAGAATGGGGCCGTGTGATGGAACGCGAGAGAATGGGGCGGGGAGATGGAAAGCGGGAGAAAGGGGCGGGGTGATGGAAAGCGGGAGAATGGGGCGGGCTTATGGAAAGCGGGAGAATGGGGCGGGGTGATGGAAGGAGGGAGAATGGGGCGGGGTGATGGAAGGAGAGAGAAGGGGGCGGGGTGATGGAAAGTGGGAAAATGTGGCGGGGTGATGGAAAGCGGGAGAATGGGGTGGGGTTATGGGAAGCGGGAGAATGGGGCGGGGTGATGGAAAGCGGGAGAATGAAGCGGGGTGATGGAAAGCGGGAGAATGGGGCGGGGTGATGGAAAGCAGGGAGAATGGGGCGGGTGATGGAAAGCGGGTGAATGGGGCGGGGTGATGGAAAGCAGGAGAATGGGGAGGGGTGATGGAAAGCAGAAGAATAGGGCGGGGTGATGGAAAGCGGGAGATGGGGCGAGGTGATGGAAAGCGGGAGAATGGGGCGGGTAATGGAAAGCGGGAGAATGGGGCGGGGTGATGGAAGGAGGGAGAATGGGGCGGGGTTATGGAAGGAGGGAGAAGGGGGCGGGGTGATGGAAAGCGGAAGAATGGCGCGGGGTGATGGAAAGCGGGAGAATGGGGCAGGGTGATGGAAAGCGGGAGATGGGGCGAGGTGATGGAAAGCGGGAGAATGGGGCGGGTAATGGAAAGCGGGAGAATGGGGCGGGGTGATAGAAGGAGGGAGAATGGGGAGGGGTGATGGAAAGCGGGGGAATGGGGCGGGATGATGGGAAGCGGGATAATGGGGCGGGGTGATGGAAAGCGGTAGAATGGGGCGGGTTGATGGAAAGCGGGAGAATGGGGCAGGGTGATGGAAAGCGGGAGAAAGGGGCGGGCTGATGGAAAGCGGTAGAATGGGGCGGGGTGATGGAAGGAGGGAGAATGGGGCGGGGTGATGGAAGGAGGGAGAAGGGGGCGGCGTGATGGAAAGCGGGAGAATGGAGCGGGGTGATGGAAAGCGGGAGAATGGGGCGGGGTGATGGAAGGAAGGAGAATGGGGCGGGGTGATGGAAAGCGGGAGAATGTGGCGGGGTGATGGAAAGCGGGAGAATGAGGTGGGGTTATGGGAAGCGGGAGAATGGGGCGGGGTGATGGAAAGCGGGAGAATGGGGCGGGGTGATGGAAGGAGGGAGAATAGCGCGTTGTGATGGAAAGCGGGAGAATGGGGCAGGGTGATGGAAGGAGGGAGAATGGGGCGGGGTGATGGAAAGCGGGAGAATGGGGCGGGGTGATGGAAGGAGGGAGAATGGGGCGGGGTGATGGAAGGAGGGAGAATGGGGCGGGGTGATGGAAAGTGGGAGAATGGGGCGTGGTGATGGAAAGCGGGAGAATGGGGCGGTGTGATGGAAGGAGGGAGAATGGAGGCGGGGTGATGGAAAGCGGGAGAATGGGGCGGGGTGATGGAAAGTGGGAGCATGGGGCGGGGTGATGGAAGGAGGTAGAATGGGGCGGGGAGATGGAAAGCGGGAGAATGGGGTGGGCTGATGGAAAGCGGGAGAATGGGGCGGGGTGATGGAAGGAGGGAGAATGGGGCGGGGTGATGGAAATTAGGAGAATGGGACGGGGCGATGGAAAGCGGGAGCATGGGGCGGGGTGATGGAAGGAGGTAGAATGAGGCGGGGTGATGGAAGGAGGGAGAATGGGGCGGGGAGATGGAAAGCGGGAGAATGGGGCGGGGTGATGGAAAGCGGGAGAATGGGGCGGGGTGATGGAAAGCGGGAGAATGGGGCGGGGTGACGGAAAGCGGGAGAATGGGGCGGGGTGATGGAAAGCGGGAGAATGGGGCGGGGTGATGGAAAGCGGGAGAATGGGGCGGGGTGATGGAAAGCGGGAGAATGGGGCGGGCTGATGGAAAGCGGGAGAATGGGGCGGGCTGATGGAAAGCGGGAGAATAGGGCGGGGTGATGGAAGGAGGGAGAAAGGGGCGGGGTGATGGAAGGAGGGAGAACGGGGCGGGTGATGGAAGGAGGGATAATGGGGCGGGGTTATGGAAAGCGGGAGAATGGGGCGGGGTGATGGAAAGCGGGAGAATGGGGCGGGGTGATGGAAGGAGGGAGAATGGGGCGGGGTGATGGAATGCGGGAGATTGGGGCAGGGTGATGGAAAGCGTGAGAATGGGGCAGGGTGATAGAAAGCGGGAAAATGGGGCGGGGTGATGGAAAGTGGGAGAATGGGGCGGGGTGATGGAAAGCGGGAGAATGGGGCGGGTGATGGAAAGTGGGTGAATGGGGCGGGGTGATGGAAAGCAGGAGAATGGGGCGAGGTGATGGAAAGCGGGAGATGGGGCGAGGTGATGGAAAAGCGGGAGAATGGGGCGTGTAATGGAAAGCGGGAGAATGGGGCGGGGTGATGGAAGGAGGGAGAATGGGGAGGGGTGATGGAAAGCGGGGGAATGGGGCGGGATGATGGGAAGCGGGAGAATGGGGCGGGGTGATAGAAAGCGGGAGAATGGGGCGGGGTGATGGAAAGCGGGAGAATGGGGCAGGGAGATGGAAAGCGGGAGAAAGGGGCGGGGTGATGGAAAGCGGGAGAATGGGGCGGGCTGATAGAAAGCGGGAGAATGGGGCGGGGTGATGGAAGGAGGGAGAATGGGGCGGGGTGATGGAAGGAGGGAGAAGGGGGCGGGGTGATGGAAAGCGGAAGAATGGCGCGGGGTGATGGAAAGCGGGAGAATGGGGCGGGGTGATGGAAAGCGGGAGAATGGGGCGGGGTGATGGAAAGCGGGAGAATGGTGCGGGGTGATGGAAAGCGGGAGAATGGGGCAGGGTGATGGAAAGCGGGAGAATAGGGCGGGGTGAAGGAAGGAGGGAGAACGGGGCGGGGTGGTGGAAAGAGGAAGAAGGGGGCGGGGTGATGGAAAGCGAGAGAATGGGCCAGGGTGTTGGAAAGCGGGAGAATGGGGCGGGGTGATGAAAAGCAGGAGAATGGGGCGGGGTGATGGAAAGTGGGAGAATGGGCCGGGGTGATGGAAAGCGGGAGAATGGGGCCGGTGATGGAAAGCGGGTGAATGGGGCAGGGTGATGGAAAGCGGGAGAATGGGGCGGGGTGATGGAAAGCAGAAGAATGGGGCGGGGTGATGGAAAGCGGGAGAATGGGGCGAGGTGATGGAAAGCGGGAGAATGGGGCGGGTGATGGAAAGCGGGAGAATGGGGCGGGGAGATGGAAAGCGGGAGAAAGGGGCGGGGTGATGGAAGGAGGGAGAATGGGGAGGGGTGATGGAAAGCGGGGGAATGGGGCGGGATGATGGGAAGCGGAAGAATGGGGCGGGGTGATGGAAAGCGGGAGAATGGGGCGTTGTGATGGAAAGCGGGAGAATGGGGCGGGGAGATGGAAAGCGGGAGAAAGGGGCGGGGTGATGGAAAGCGGGAGAATGGGGCGGGCTGATGGAAAGCGGGAGAATGGGGCGGGGTGATGGAAGGAGGGAGAAGGGGTCGGGGTGATGGAAGGAGAGAGAAGGGGTCGGGGTGATGGAAAGTGGGAAAATGTGGCGGGGTGATGGAAAGCGGGAGAATGGGGCGAGGTGATGGAATGCGGGAGAATGGAGCGGGGTGATGGAATGAGGGAGAATGGGGCAGGGTGATGGAAGGAGGGAGAATGGGGCGGGGTGATGGAAAGCGGGAGAATGGGGCGGGTGATGGAAAGCGGGTGAATGGGGCGGGGTGATGGAAAGCGGGAGAATGGGTCGGGGTGATGGAAAGCGGGAGAACGGGGCGGGGTGATGGAAAGCAAGAGAATGGGGCGGGGTGATAGAAGGAGGGAGAATGGGGAGGGGTGATGGAAAGCGGGGGAATGGGGCGGGATGATGGGAAGCGGAAGAATGGGGCGGGGTGATGGAAAGCGGGAGAATGGGGCGGGGTGATGGAAAGCGGGAGAATGGGGCGGGGAGATGGAAAGCGGGAGAAAGGGGAGGGGTGATGGAAAGCGGGAGAATGGGGCGGGCTGATGGAAAGCGGGAGAATGGGGCGGGGTGATGGAAAGAGGGAGAATGGGGCGGGGTGATGGAAGGAGAGAGAAGGGTGCGGGGTGATGGAAAGTGGAAGATTGTGGCGGGGTGATGGAAAGCGGGAGAATGGGGTGGGGTTATGGGAAGCGGGAGAATGGGGCGGGGTGATGGAAAGCGGGAGAATGGGGCGGGGTGATGGAAGGAGGGAGAATGGGGCGGGGTGATGGAAGGAGGGAGAATGGGGCGGGGTGATGGAAAGCGGGAGAATGGGGCGGGGTGATGGAAGGAGGGAGAATGGGGAGGGGTGATGGAAAGCGGGGGAATGGGGCGGGATGATGGGAAGTGGGAGAATGGGGCAGGGTGATGGAAAGCGGGAGAATGGGGCGGGGTGATGGAAAGCGGGAGAATGGGGCAGGGAGATGGAAAGCGGGAGAATGGAGCGGGGTGATGGAAAGCGGGAGAATGGGGCGGGTGATGGAAGGAGGAAGAAGGGGGCGGGGTGATGGAAAGCGAGAGAATGGGCTGGGGTGTTGGAAAGCGGGAGAATGGGGCGGGGTGATGAAAAGCGGGAGAATGGGGCGGGGTGATGGAAAGTGGGAGAATGGGGCGGGGTGATGGAAAGCGGGAGAATGGGGCGGGTGATGGAAAGCGGGTGAATGGGGCAGGGTGATGGAAAGCGGGAGAATGGGGCGGGGTGATGGAAAGCAGAAGAATGGGGCGGGGTGATGGAACGCGGGAGAATGGGGCGAGGTGATGGAAAGCGGGAGAATGGGGCGGGTGATGGAAAGTGGGAGAATGGGGCGGGGTGATGGAAGGAGGGAGATTGGGGAGGGGTGATGGAAAGCGGGGGAATGGGGCGGGATGATGGGAAGCGGAAGAATGGGGCGGGGTGATGGAAAGCGGGAGAATGGGGTGGTGTGATGGAAAGCGGGAGAATGGGGCAGGGTGATGGAAAGCGGGAGAATGGGGCGGGGTGAAGGAAGGAGGGAGAATGGGCCGGGGTGATGGAAGAAGGAAGAAGGGGGCGGGGTGATGGAAAGTGGGAAAATGTGGCGGGGTGATGGAAAGCAGGAGAATGGGGTGGGGTTATGGGAAGCGGGAGAATGGGGCGGGGTGATGGAAAGCGGGAGAATGGAGCGGGGTGATGGAATGAGGGAGAATGGGGCGGGGTTATGGGAAGCGGGAGAATGGGGCGGGGTGATGGAAAGCGGGAGAATGGGGCGGGGTGATGGAAGGAGGGAGAACGGGACGGGGTGATGGAAGGAGGGAGAATGGGGCGGGGTGATGGAAAGCAGGAGAATGGGGCGGGGAGATGGAAGGAGGGAGAATGGGGCGGGGTGATGGAAAGCGGGAGAATGGGGCGGGGTGATGGAAAGAGGGAGAATGGGGCGGGGTGATGGTAAGCGGGAGAATGGGGCGGGGTGACGGAAGGAGGGAGAATGGGGCGGGGTGATGGAAGGAGGGAGAATGGGGCGGGGAGATGGAAAGCGGGAGAATGGGGCGGGGTGATGGAAAGCGGGAGAATGGGGCGGGGTGATGGAAAGCGGGAGAATGGGGCGGGGTGACGGAAAGCGGGAGAATGGGGCGGGGTGATGGAAAGCGGGAGAATGGGGCGGGGTGATGGAAAGAGGGAGAATGGGGCGGGGTGATGGAAGGAGAGAGAAGGGTGCGGGGTGATGGAAAGTGGAAGATTGTGGCGGGGTGATGGAAAGCGGGAGAATGGGGTGGGGTTATGGGAAGCGGGAGAATGGGGCGGGGTGATGGAAAGCGGGAGAATGGGGCGGGGTGATGGAAGGAGGGAGAATGGGGCGGGGTGATGGAAGGAGGGAGAATGGGGCGGGGTGATGGAAAGCGGGAGAATGGGGCGGGGTGATGGAAGGAGGGAGAATGGGGAGGGGTGATGGAAAGCGGGGGAATGGGGCGGGATGATGGGAAGCGGGAGAATGGGGCAGGGTGATGGAAAGCGGGAGAATGGGGCGGGGTGATGGAAAGCGGGAGAATGGGGCAGGGAGATGGAAAGCGGGAGAATGGAGCGGGGTGATGGAAAGCGGGAGAATGGGGCGGGGTGATGGAAAGCGGGAGAATGGGGTGGGGTGATGGAAAGCGAGAGAATGGGGCGGGGTGATGGAAAGCGGGAGAATGGGGCGGGGTGATGGAATGAGGAAGAATGGGGCGGGGTGATGGAAGGAGGGAGAATGAAGCGGGGTGATGGAAAGCGGGAGAATGGGGCGGGGTGATGGAAGGAGGAAGAATGGGGCGGGGTGATGGAAAGCGGGAGAATGGGGCGGGGTGATGGAAAGCGGGAGAATGGGGCGGGGTGATGGAAAGCGAGAGAATGGGGCGGGGTGATGGAAGGAGGGAGAATGGGGAGGGGTGATGGAAATCGGGGGAATGGGGCGGGATGATGGGAAGCGGAAGAATGGGGCGGGGTGATGGAAAGCGGGAGAATGGGGCAGGGTGATGGGAAGCGGGAGAATGGGGCGGGGGGATGGAAAGCGGGAGAAAGGGGAGGGGTGATGGAAAGCGGGAGAATGGGGCGGGCTGATGGAAAGCGGGAGAATGGGGCGGGGTGATGGAAGGAGGGAAAATGGGGCGGGGTGATGGAAGGAGAGAGAAGGGGGGCGGGGTGATGGAAAGCGGGAGAATGGGGTGGGGTTGTGGGAAGCGGGAGAATGGGGCGGGGTGATGGAAAGCGGGGGAATGGGGCGGGGTGATGGAAGGAGGGAGAATGGGGCGGGGTGATGGAAGGAGGGAGAATGGGGCGGAGTGATGGAAAGCGGGAGAATGGGGCGGGGTGATGGAAGGAGGGAGAATGGGGCAGGATGATGGAAAGCGGGAGAATGGGGCGGGGTGATGGAAAGCGGGAGAATGGGGTGGGGTGATGGAAAGCGGGAGAATGGGGTGGGGTGATGGAAATCAGGAGAATGGGGCGGGGTGATGGAAAGCGGGAGAATGGGGCGGAGTGATGGAAGGAGGGAGAATGGGGCGGGGTTATAGAAAGCGGGAGAATGTGGCGGTGTGATGGAAAGCGGGAGAAGGGGGTGGGGTTATGGGAAGCGGGAGAAAGGGGCGGGGTGATGGAAAGCGGGAGAATGGGGGCGGGGTGATGGAAGGAGGGAGAATGGGGCGGGGTGATGGAAGGAGGGAGAATGGGGCGGGGTGATGGAAGGAGGGAGAATGGGGCGGGGTGATGGAAAGCGCGAGAATGGGGCGGGGTGATGGAAGGAGGGAGAATGGGGCGGGGTGATGGAAAGCGGGAGAATGGGGCGGGGTGATGGAAAGCGGGAGGATGGGGCGGGGTGATGGAAGGAAGGAGAATGGGGTGGGGTGATGGAAAGCGGGAGATTGGGGCAGGGTGATGGAAAGCGGGAGAATGGGGCGGGGTGATGGAAAGCGGGAAAATGGGGCGGGGTGATGGAAAGCGGGAGAATGGGGCTGGGTGATGGAAAGCGGGAGAATGGGGCGGGGTGATGGAAAGCGGGAGAATGGGGCGGGGTGATGGAAGGAGGGAGAATGGGGCGGGGTGATGGAAGGAGAGAGAAGGGGGCGGGGTGATGGAAAGTGGGAGAATGTGGCGGGGTGATGGAAAGCGGGAGAATGGGGTGGGGTTATGGGAAGCGGGAGAATGGGGCGGGGTGATGGAAAGCGGGAGAATGGGGCGGGGTGATGGAAGGAGGGAGAATGGGGCGGGGTGATGGAAGGAGGGAGAATGGGGCGGAGTGATGGAAAGCGGGAGAATGGGGCGGGGTGATAGAAGGAGGGAGAATGGGGCGGGATGATGGAAAGCGGGAGGATGGGGCAGGGTGATGGAAAGCGGGAGAATGGGGCGGGGTGATGGAAAGCGGGAGAATGGGGCGGGGTGATGGAAAGCGGGAGAATGGGGCGGGTTGATGGAAGGAGGGAGAATGGGGTGGGGTGATAGAAAGCGGGAGAATGTGGCGGGGTGATGGAAAGCGGGAGAATGGGGTGGGGTTATGGGAAGCGGGAGAATGAGGCGGGGTGATGGAAAGCGGGAGAATGGGGCGGGGTGATGGAAGGAGGGAGAATGGGGCGGGGTGATGGAAGGAGGGAGAATGGGGCGGAGTGATGGAAAGCGGGAGAATGGGGCGGGGTGATGGAAGGAGGGAGAATGGGGCGGGATGATGGAAAGCGGGAGAATGGGGCAGGGTGATGGAAAGCGGGAGAATGGGGCGGGGTGATGGAAAGCGGGAGAATGGGGCGGGGTGATGGAAATCGGGAGAATGGGGCGGGGTGATGGAAAGCGGGAGAATGGGGCGGGTTGATGGAAGGAGGGAGAATGGGGCGGGGTGATAGAAAGCGGGAGAATGTGGCGGGTGATGGAAAGCAGGAGAAGGGGGTGGGGTTATGGGAAGCGGGAGAATGGGGCGGGGTGATGGAAAGCGGGAGAATGGGGCGGGGTGATGGAAGGAGGGAGAATGGGGCGGGGTGATGGAAGGAGGGAGAATGGGGCGGGGTGATGGAATGCGGGAGAATGGGGCGGGGTGATGGAAGGAGGGAGAATGGGGCGGGGTGATGGAAAGCGGGAGAATGGGGCGGGGTGATGGAAAGCGGGAGAATGGGGCTGGGTGATGGAAAGCGGGAGAATGGGGCGGGGTGATGGAAAGTGGGAGAATGGGGCGGGGTGATGGAAGGAGGGAGAATGGGGTGGGGTGATGGAAAGCGGGAGATTGGGGCAGGGTGATGGAAAGCGGGAGAATGGGGCGGGGTGATGGAAAGCGGGAAAATGGGGCGGGGTGATGGAAAGCGGGAGAATGGGGCGGGGTGATGGAAGGAGGGAGAATAGGGCGGGGTTATGGAAAGTGGGAGAATGGGTCGGGGTGATGGAAAGCGGGAGAATGGGGCGGAGTGATGGAAAGCGGGAGAATGGGGCGGGGTGATGGAAAGCGGGAGAACGGGGCGGGGTGATGGAAAGCGGGAGAATGGGGCAGGGTGATGGAAAGCGGGAAAATGGGGCGGGGTGATGGAAAGCGGGAGAATGGGGCGGAGTGATGGAAAGCGGGAGAATGGGGCGAGGTGATGGAAAGCGAGAGAATGGGGCGGGTGATGGAAAGGGGGAGAATGGGGCGGGGTGATGGAAAGCGGGGAATGGGGCGGGATGATGGGAAGCGGAAGAATGGGGCGGGGTGGTGGAAAGCGGGAGAATGGGGCGGGGTGATGGAAAGCGGGAGAATGGGGCGGGGAGATGGAAAGCGGGAGAAAGGGGCGGGGTGATGGAAAGCGGGAGAATGGGGCGGGCTGATGGAAAGCGGGAGAATGGGGCGGGGTGATGGAAGGAGGGAGAATGGGGTGGGGTGATGGAAGGAGAGAGAAGGGAGCGGGGCGATGGAAAGTGGGAAAATGTGGCGGGGTGATGGAAAGCGGGAGAATGGGGTGGGGTTATGGGAAGCAGGAGAATGGGGCGTGGTGATGGAAAGCGGGAGAATGGGGCGGGGTGATAGAATGAGGGAGAATGGGGCCGGGTGATGGAAGGAGGGAGATTGGGGCGGGGTAATGGAAAGCGGGAGAATGGGGCGGGGTGATGGAAGGAGGGAGAATGGGGCGGGGTGATGGAAAGCGGGAGAATGGGGCGGGGTGATGGAAAGCGGGAGAATGGGGCGGGGTGATGGAAAGCAAGAGAATGGGGTGGGGTGATGGAAGGAGGGAGAATGGGGAGGGGTGATGGAAAGTGGGGGAATGGGGCGGGATGATGGGAAGCGGAAGAATGGGGCGGGGTGATGGAAAGAGGGAGAATGGGGCGGGGTGATGGAAAGCGAGAGAATGGGGCGGGGAGATAGAAAGCGGGAGAATGGAGCGGGGTGATGGAAAGCGGGAGAATGGGGCGGGCTGATGGAAAGCGGGAGAATGGGGCGGGGTGATGGAAGGAGGGAGAATGGGGCGTGGTGATGGAAGGAGAGAGAAGGGGGCGGGGTGATGGAAAGTGGGAGAATGTGGCGGGGTGATGGAAAGAAGGAGAATGGGGCGGGGTGATGGAAAGCGGGAGAATGGGGCGGGGTGATGGAAGGAGGGAGAATGGGGCGGGGTGATAGAAAGCGGGAGAATGTGGCGGGGTGATGGAAAGCGGGAGAATGGGGTGGCGTGTGCAAAAAAAAAGAACAAGGGCATGGCGTGTGCAAAATAGCAAGAACAAGGGCCTAGCGTGTGCAAAATAAAAAGAACAAGGGCCTAGCGTGTGCAAAATAAAAAGAACAAGGGCCTAGCGTTTGCAAAATTGCAAGAACAAGGGCCTAGCATGTGCAAAATTGCAAGAACAAGGGCTTAGCGAGTGCAAAATAGCAAGAGCAAGGGCCTAGCGTGTGCAAAAAATCAAGAACAAGGGCCTAGCGTTCGCGAAATAGCAAAAACAAGGGCCTAGCGTGTGCAAAATAAAAAGAACAAGGGTCTAGCATGTGCAAAATTGCAAGAACAAGGGCCTAGCTTGTGCAAAATAAAAAGAACAAGGGCATAGCGTGTGCAAAATAGCAAGAACAGGTGCCTAGCGTGTGCAAAATATAAAGAACAAGGGACTAGCATGTGCAAAATAAAGAGAACAAGGGCCTAGCGTGTGCAAAATTGCAAGAACAAGGGCCTAGCGTGTGCAAAATAAAAAGAACAAAGGCCTAGCGTGTGCAAAATAAAAATAACAAAGGGCTAGCATGTGCAAAATTGCAGGAACAAGGGCCTAGCATCTGCAAAATTGCAAGAACAAGGGCCTAGCGAGTGCAAATTAGCAAGAGCAAGGGCCTAGCGTGTGCAATAAATCAAGAACAAGGGCCTAGCGTTCGCGAAATAGCAAGAACAAGGGCCTAGCGTGTGCAAAATAAGAAGAACAAGGGTCTAGCATGTGCAAAACTGCAAGAACAAGGGCCTAGCGTGTTCAAAATAAAAAGAACAAGGGCATAGCGTGTGCAAAATAGCAAGAACAAGGGCCTAGCGTGTGCAAAATAAAAAGAACAAGGGTCTAGCATGTGCGAAATTGCAAGAATAAGGGCCTAGCGTGTGCAAAATAAAAAGAACAAGGGCATAGCGTGTGCTAAATTGCAAGAACAAGGGCCTAGCGTGTGCAAAATTGCAAGAACAAGGGCCTAGCGAGTGCAAAATAGCAAGAGCAAGAGCCTAGCGTGTGCAAAAAATCAAGGACAAGGGCCTAGCGTTCGCGAAATAGCAAGAGCAAGGGCCTAGCGTGTGCAAAATAAAAACAACAAGGGTCTAGCATGTGCAAAATTGCAAAAACAAGGGCCTAACGTGTGCAAAATTGCAAGAACAAGGGCGTAGCGAGTGCAAAATAGCAAGAGCAAGGGCCTAACGTGTGCAAAAAATCAAGAACAAGGGCCTAGCGTTCGCGAAATAGCAAGAACAAGGGCCTAGCGTGTGCAAAATAAAAAGAACAAAGGGCTAGCGTGTGCAAAATTGCAAGAACAAGGGCCTAGCGTGTGCAAAATTGCAAGAACAAGGGCCTAGCGAGTGCAAATAGCAAGAGCAAGGGCCTAGCTTGTGCAATAAATCAAGAACAAGGGCCTAGCGTTCGCGAAATAGCAAGAACAAGGGCCTAGCGTGTGCAAAATAAAAAGAAGAAGGGTCTAGCATGTGCAAAATTGCAAGAACAAGGGCCTAGCGTGTTCAAAAATAAAAACAACAAGGGCATAGCGTGTGCAAAATAGCAAGAACAAGGGCCTAGCGTGTGCAAAATAAAAAGAACAAGGGTCTAGCATGTGCGAAATTGCAAGAATAAGGGCCTAGCGTGTGCAAAATAAAAAGAACAAGGGCATAGTGTGTGCTAAATTGCAATAACAAGGGCCTAGCGTGTGCAAAAATGCAAGAACAAGGGCCTAGCGAGTGCAAAATAGCAAGAGCAAGAGCCTAGCGTGTGCAAAAAATCAAGGACAAGGGCCTAGCATTCGCGAAATAGCAAGAGCAAGGGCCTAGCGTGTGCAAAATAAAAACAACAAGGGTCTAGCATGTGCAAAATTGCAAGAACAAGGGCCAAGCGTGTGCAAATAAAAAGAACAAGGGCATAGAGTGTGCAAAATAGCAAGAACAAGGGCCTAGCGTGTGCAAAATAAAAAGAAACAAGGGCCTAGCGTGTGCAAAATAAAAAGAACAAGGGCCTAGCGTACGCAAAATTGCAAGAACAAGGGCCTAGCGTGTGCAAAATTGCAAGAACAAGGGCCTAGCGAGTGCAAAATAGCAAGAGCAAGGGCCTAGCGTGTGCAATAAATCAAGAACAAGGGCCTAGCGTACGCGAAATAGCAAGAACAAGGGCCTAGCGTGTGCAAAATAAAAAGAACAAGGGTCTAGCATGTGCAAAATTGAAAGAACAAGGGCCTAGCGGTGTTCAAAATAAAAAGAACAAGGGCATAGCGTGTGCAAAATAGCAAGAACAAGGGCCTAGCGTGTGCAAAATAAAAAGAACAAGGGTCTAGCATGTGCGAAATTGCAAGAATAAGGGCCTAGCGTGTGCAAAATAAAAAGAACAAGGGCATAGCGTGTGCTAAATTGCAAGAACAAGGGCCTAGCGTGTGCAAAAATGCAAGAACATGGGCCTAGCGAGTGCAAAATAGCAAGAGCAAGAGCCTAGCGTGTGCAAAAAATCAAGGACAAGGGCCTAGCGTTCGCGAAATAGCAAGAGCAAGGGCCTAGCGTGTGCAAAATAAAAACAACAAGGGTCTAGCATGTGCAAAATTGCAAGAACAAGGGCCAAGCGTGTGCAAAATAAAAAGAACAAGGCAAGAGCGTGTGCAAAATAGCAAGAACAAGGGCCTAGCGTGTGCAAAATTGCAAGAACAAGGGCCTAGTATGTGCAAAATACAAGAACAAGGGCCTAGCGTGTGCAAAATAAAAAGAACAAGGGCCTAGCGTGTCCAAAATTGCAAGAACAAGGGCCTAGCTTGTGCAAAATTGCAAGAACAAGGGCCTAGCGAGAGCAAAATAGCTAGAGCAAGGGCCTAGCGTGTGCAAAAAATCAAGAACAAGGGCATAGGGGTTCGCGAAATAGCAAGAACAAGGGCCTAGCGTGTGCAAAATAAAAGAACAAGGGCAATGGCGTGTGCAAAATAGCAAGAACAAGGGCCTAGCGTGTGCAAAATAAAAAGAACAAGGGCCTAGCGTGTGCAAAATAAAAAGAACAAGGGCCTAGCGTTTGCAAAATTGCAAGAACAAGGGCCTAGCATGTGCAAAATTGCAAGAACAAGGGCTTAGCTGTCAGAACTTATAGCTTACTTGTTTCTGTAGGCTATAGTGGGGTATCCCATAGGGGGTACAACCCAATTAGGGTTTCCTATTTGTACTCACTTCGTTCATAGTCATTCCATTCTCGTTCTTTGTTTTCCACATGGAATCAGAGCAGGTTCCCTCCTAGGGACTGCTTCTAGGGCCCACCGAACCGCGCCCCGAGGCGCGTTTTTTTTTAGCGACCCGTCGTGTCGCCCCTAGCGGACCGTTGCGCCGCCCTTCCCCTCGCGGCTCCGCCGCCCTTCCCTAGCGGCCCCGCCCGCCCTTCGATCGCGGCCCGCCGCCCTCTGCTACGCGGACCCCGCCGCAGCCCTTACGATCGCGGCCCCGCCGCCCTCGGCTACGCGGCCCCCGCCGCCCTCTGCCTCGCGGCCCCGCCGCCCTCTGCTACGCGGCCCCGCCGCCCTCTGCTACGCGGCCCCGCCGCCTCTGCTACGCGCCGCCCCGCCGCCCTTCGATCGCGGCCCCGCCGCCCTTTGCCCCACGCGGCCCCGCCGCCCTCTACTACGCGGCCCCGCCGCCCTCTGCTACGCGGCCCCCGCCGCCCTTCGATCGCGGCCCCGCCGCCCTCTGCTACGCGGCCTCGCCGCCCTCTGCTACGCGGCCCCGCCGCCCCCTGCTACGCGGCCCCGCCGCTCTCATTCGGTCGCGGCCCCGCCGCCCTCTGCTACGCGGCCCCGCCGCCCCTTGCTACGCGGCCCCGCCGCTCTCTTCGGTCGCGGCCCCGCCGCCACTCTGCTACGCGGCCCCGCCGATCCGCCCAGCAGCAGCCGCCGCCGCCTGAGCCGCCGCCGAGCCGCCGCCGAGCCGTCGCCGAGCCGCCGCCGAGCCGCCGCCGAGCCGCCGCCAGAGCCGCCGCCCGAGCCGCCGCCGAGCCGCCAGAGCCGCCGCCGAGCCGCCCGTGACGCCCGAGCCGGCCCCGCGCCGCCCAGCAGCAGCCGAGCCGCCGCCGAGCCGCCGCCGCCTGAGCCGCCGCCGAGCCGCCGCCGAGCCGCCGCCGAACCGCCGCCGAGCCGCCAGCCCGAGCCGCCGCCGAGCCGCCCGCGGCCGCCCGAGCCGCCTGCGGAGCCGTGCTGCTGTTCCTCTGCTGCTGACCTACCCGCCTCTCCCAGCCCGGTGAGATTTTCAGCTGCTGTCGTGGCCACCCCCAATGTTCTTACCTTTGACGCTGAGGGGAGGGCCATTGACTTTGCCGTCTGGATTGAAGACCTGCAGCTGTACTTACTGTGTGATGCGATAGATGAGGTCTCTCTCTTTGACTTTGTCTCTGGCGCTGTCCCTGCCCCACCTGCTGATGCTGACTCTGCCGTTCGCTCCAAGTGGGCGACCCGCGATGCTGCTGCACGTCTTGCTGTGCGTCGCCACCTCCCTTCCTCTGAGCGTGCCCACTTTAGTCAGTGCAAGACCGCTCAGGCCTTGTACGACGCTGTAGTTGCACGCTACTCCTCCCCTTCCTCCGCTACCCTTAGCCGCCTCATGCTACCGTTCTCTTCCCTGACCTCGCTTCCTTTCCCACTGTCGCTGACCTCGTTACCCACCTCCGTGCTAGTGACACCCGCTACCGCGCTGCCCTTCCTGCTGAGTTCCGCGATGCGAACCCTCCTCCCATGTACATCACTCTCTACTTTCTCGTCACCCGTCTCCCTGAGTCCCTTCGTGTCGTTAGGGACCAGTTTCTCTCTGTCTGTCCCACCACTCTCACTGTCGACCTCCTTGAGGAGTCCCTGCTAGCGGCTGAGAAGAGTATTGTCGCTGTAGGGGCCTCTCGGGGTGACCCTCGCACCCCTATCTTTGAGGGGTGTGGTCCTTCCCCCCTGCTGCCCTCTGTCGCCTCTGCCGCTGCGGCCGACCTCACTGGTTTTGAGTCGGTCGGCGCGGCGTCTGCCCCCCAGCGGCAGACGCCGCGCTGGCAAGGCAAGGGGGGCAAGGGAGCGGGTGGAGCTAGAGGGGGCGGTGGAGGAGGCGGTGGGGGTGGCGGGGGGAGTGGGGGTGGCGGTGGGGGTGGTGGCGGGAGTGGAGGTACTGGTGGCGGCGGTGGAGGCGGAGGTGGCGGCGGAGGTGGTAGCGGAGGAGGCGGTGGGAGCGGTGGGAGCGACGGTCCTGGTGGGGGAGGTGGAGGTGGAGACGGGGGTGGCGGTGGAGGCGGGGGTGGCAGTGGAGGCGGGGGTCGGAGTGGCTCGTCCCAGCGGAGCAGCTCCGGGGGTGGTCAGCGCCAGCAGCAGCAGCAGCAGCAGCCGCAGCAGCAGCCACAGCAGCAGCAGCAGCGCTCTCGCACCGTCCCCGCCCCTCAGCAGCTCCGTGAGTGGTACTCGCAGCGTCAGCGTGGTGGTGCGCTTGGTCCTTGCCCCTACGTTCTCCGCACCGGTGACCGTGCAGGGGAGAGGTGTGGAGGCGCCCACACTGCCCGCCGCTGCTTTGGCCGCCTGACTGACGCCTGGCGTCAGCAGTTTCCGGAGGCAGCTGAGATCCCCCCGCTGGGGAGAGCTGTCTAGGGCTGGTGTAGCTATTTATGATCTTGATTTTGATGCTATTCTCTCTGCTATGTATGCTGCGATTGGTAGTGATGAGGATGACTGTTACCGGTGTTTCCCGCCCGACCCGGGCATTGGTACTGGTGAGGCTGCTGCTCTAGGTGCCAGTGCGTCTGTGCTCTCAGGTGCTGGTGAGTCTGCCTCTCAGGTACTGTGTCGGCTTCGCCTCTCACACCTTCACCCTTGACTCTGGAGCGTCTCGCTCCTTCTTTCGGACCGCACCACTCTCACGCCGCTGAGTCGCCGGGGTTTGCGGTTTGTCCCTGGCTGACCCCTCTGGGGGGCCTGTCCTGTCTCGCTTCTCCACTGTCCTCCCGTGTCCGGCGGCCCCCTCTGGCACCCTGACTGGTCTCTACCTCCCCTCGTTCTCGACGAACTTGGTGAGTGGTGCTGACCTCCAGGATGCGGGTGTCCACCAGTTCACCCCTGCTCGTCAGCGGGTGACCCACTGCACGGAGGCGGATACAGGTCGCCACCTGGCTACGTTTACACGTCGGCCAGGGTCGAGCCTGTACACTCTGACCACTGCTTCTCCTCCAGGTGCTGAGTCTGGTAGGGTCACTTCGTCTGGTCAGGTGTTTGCTGCAGCGTCCAGGTCTGGTCCTGAGTCTGCCCCCTGCTCGTGCCGTCGTTTGTCTCACGAGACCCCTCCTCTGCACCACCGCCTTGGCCACCCCTCTCTGCTTCGGCTCAGAGGCAGTGGCCTCGCGAGTCCTTGTGTCTGGTCTTCCCCGGTCTCTCCCTCCCCTTCCTCCGGGCCCTGGCCCCACCTGTGTCCCCTGTGTCGAGGGCGCCAGCGTGCTGCCCCTCACTCCTCCAGTTTCCTCCGACAGAGGCCCCGTTTGCAGACGCTTCACATGGATGTGTGGGGCCCAGCCCGCGTCCGTGGACAGGGTCAGGAGCGCTACTTCCCTTGCTGGTG